ATATTTGGTGAGAAAAATTTTAAGCAACACTTGTTATTGTTGTATTATAAGCAGGTATCGTCAAACCAACAAATATCGTCATATTTATGACATCGTAATATTATTAATAAATATCATAATAAATAGCTAATACATTGCATCATAAAATTTTCGGTAAATGATTTTAACTCCGTCTGTAACTGATTTTGGTGGTCATGCTGGGTTCGTGGCTTGAGACCTTGGATCTGAGTTTGAGATTTCAAAATTTGTTTGGAACTGGGTATAAAACTCTTGTCAATAATGTATAAATATGGTATCCAAATTAGGGATGTGTACGGTCAGTCATTTTCTGGTATGACTGTTAGCTGTAACTTGTGATCTAAATCGGATGACTTTAGTACCATTAGATTCGTCACATTGAGATCAATCGAATGGTACCAAAATCATCCGATTTTGATCACTGCATCACAATCCTACAGTACTACTTTACTAATTACCTGTATTAGGGAGGTTCATACGTCGCACGTACGTATGTGCATAATGTGCGTCCAAAAACAAATGTATTACTTGTCTTACATTACAATACGAATTTCATATTTATAATTTTAAATAATGAACTCACATTGACAGACAATGAAAATAAATTTATTACTTTTCCTTGTTTTTTCGTTGCAGGTAAAAATAAAAGAAAGCAGTTAATAGAAAATAATTAATTAAACAAGTTTGTATCATTTTAATATTGATGTAGATCTTTGTATCTGTCGAATCAACATTTACGATATTGCTACCAAAAAATGGAGGAATATGGACAGGAGCCACTACAACAACGATTACATATATTGGTAAGAAAAGATTTATATCCAATAAAACATGTTAGTTGGCTCATTTGCATTCTCCTTTCCTCATCTTTTTTATAGATCTAAGCGTAAGTTATGCACTTTTTGGGACTGTTACGACGCTAGATACAACGATTTGGGGAAATACTACGCTAGGAAGTTCGACATACACCACTGATAATCACGGATTTGTTTTTTTACTGACTACCTCTAATTCAATCACTATTGACTCTTGTCTTTTGTGTCCGTCAATAAGATATACTAATACCAGTCTTACGAGAGATACTTATGCCATTGGATTCGCCAATCCAAATAATGTAGACTACTATCTTACTATTTCATTAAAAATATCTCCTTCGGTGACAACAAGTCCATTGTATTATCCAACAAACGCATTCAATCCTCCAACAAGTCAATCGAATTCACCGAACTCTCCAAATTCTCCAGGAAGTGATACAAGCCAACAAAACTCTTCATCCGGAAATACATTGCTTCTTGGAGTTGGCATTTCTGCAGGAGTTTTACTTGTAGTTGGTATTTTAGCTCTTGTTGGATTTTTAATCTATAACAAAAGAAAAAGAAAACCTGCAATCATAGAAATGCCTGGCAGTGATTCTTATTATTAAAAATATTTAATTATTGAATTTTATATATTTTTTAATGTCTAATCCCTCTTATTGCTAAATATATACATAAATATAATTTATTTATACTAAATTAATCCTTTCGTGCGCAAAATTAGTAATTAATTTTATTGCAAGTGTACAGTATCCTCAGAAAGTTTAACACTGTTACACATACATATTCAGAAATTGTGTAAGCTTACATTATAGTATATATAATGTTGCACAAAGACGGTGAATATGCAAGGAAGTCGTACAGGGAAGTCACTAGATTTCCGGGCCGGAATTAATTAATTTTGCCCATATTCATTAAAAAAGTTTTACTAATGAAGTTATATCCAACTCATTAAGTAAACCTGCCAGGCTGACAATTTTGGTCCAGAAATAGTTAACTTTTATTGTTAAATATCCGATGGACTCGATCTGGAAAGTTGAGATCTTCTTTAAAAATTTATGCAAGGGGAAGTATCAGCGTAACCAAAATTAATTGATACCTGCCCATTTTTTTATTTCCTTATTTGGGGTCGTTTAAATAATACGTAACAGCTGATCAAACTATAGCACTATAAAACAAGAAATGAAAAATAAAAAAACCCACCGTGGGTAGGTTAATTGAAAATGTCGAGGGGCAATTTTGGCTATATATAACTACTTAAATATGACCCTAACTCTAAAGCAAATTCAATAAAATATATATAAAAGAATCTATTCCGGTTTGGCATCCCTCTTATTTGAAAGAGTATCTGAAAATATTGCAATTTAAGTAGATTTAGTTTATCTGAAGAAAAGGGAGAGCATTATAGGTAAATTACACGTCAAACATTTTTATTACAGTAGTGCTTTAAGATAGGTTTAGAACTCATTCCCTGTAAAAAAAATACAAATTTATAATTTTTCCGATATTCTAGATCTAGCGCAAATTATTAATAATATAGTATAGTTTACTATTGCGAAAAAAGTAAGAATTTTGCAAAATGATCTTACTTATTATATTTGTCAGTTATTATGGTAATAAATTCTATCCCCTGGCCAACCTATCTATGAACTTTTTCATGCACTTATTTCTAAACATATATCTAATTAATTTAGGTAATTGAATATTATCCTATTTAATCTATCAAAAACAATGCTTAATTAAGTTACGCTAGGTAGCAGGATAATTATTTCTAATATATTTAACAAATTAGTACAGATGAAAGTCTAAAAATAACCAAACATTTAAAAAAGTCTTAGACAGTTAATAGCGCTAATAAGGAAACAATTCCATAATAAATTAATAAAAATCTTTCAAATATGAGGAAACAAAAAAAAATTGGGGAATTTACATATAGGTGCCCGGAAAGTGATAATATTTACAAATAAGTGCCCGGACTAAAAATAATTACATATAAGTGCCTGATATTTAAAAAATATTACATATAGGTGCCCAAGAACGTACTGTGACTCAAGTCTGTAGCTTGATCGTCATTAATTAAGTACGTTGCATAAGAAATGTAAGCATAGCATAAGAAATGTAATCATCGATTGTAAATTAGTACGTAATTTTAAATCATTAATAAGCATAGCATAAGAAATGTAATCATCGATTTTAAATTAGTATGTAATTATAAATGAGAGAAAAAATGGGCTTTTCGTCTTTTTTCTTTTTTAATAAATTTCATTCGCTTTGTTAATATTACCTATTTTATAACAAACCTGATCTACGTATAACAATAATGTCAATTACAACACTGCAAATCGGTATGAAATTTTCTGATATGAAAAGCGTTCGCTCAGCTCTAGAGAACTACTCGGTTGAAACATCTTCGGCTTATAAGTTTAGAACTAATAACTCCAATAAACTACTTGTTGTTTGTCCCTTGTATAAAGTGAATGAAGCCAGCACTTGTTCTTTTATGGTCTCTGCCAACAAACATAAAGATGGTTATATTCATATTATAAGATTAATTCAACATGATCAAAATTGTCCAACCTTTTCAAAAACATTCAAAGTACGTGGGTCATATCTTACGAAGTTCACTGCACTATTGGTTGAGGATATAGTGGCACTTAAACCTCGTGATATTGTAAATTGTCTTCGCACAGAAGTGGGTGCTGAGGCATCATATATGAAAGCTTAGAGAAGTCGAGCTATTAATAAAAAACGTGGTGCAGAAGAAATAGAAAAGAGTTACCAATGTATAAATTCTCTACTTAACAATCTGCTGACTGAGAATCCAGAAAGTGTTACTGCATTTGAGTTAGATGGTGAAAATTGATTTACTCGTGCATTTTTATGCTTATGGCCATGGATTAAAGCAGCTGAACATTGCCGGCCTGTGTTTACATTTGATGCTTGTTACTCAAAGTCAAGTTACAAAGGTGTGTATTTTAGTGTAAGTGTGATTGATGGTGAGGGCAAGCTTGTTCCTATAGCATTCGCTATTTGTTCTGTTGAAAATTCTGACAATTGGACGTGGTTTTGTGAGCATTTGCGTATGGCTCTTCCATTAATAAATACAATTAAGACTATAATCATAAGTGACCGTGAAAA